CCTGGCTTTGTTCAGATTCCTCCACCTAGCCCAGGTGTCAGGCGACTGGGCCGTGGCCTACGTGCCCCCCTCAGGGCCCATCCCCCACTGGGCAGCACACGCACGCACACACACAATCTCTGCAGCCCAGCATAGGGCATTGGGGTCACACCCAGCAACCAGTGAATGCAAAACCAGAGTGGATCCAGTGCCAAAAGAGTGGACAGCCCCCCCTCCCCCCACGTCACAGGCTGTCAATCTTCAAAACACCTCAGCCCTGGGGAGTGGGAGTAATTCGAACCCTCGGCCCGTCAGCCATCTGCAAAGGGAGCTGGGTTTTTGCTTTTCTGATGATCCCAGGTGCAGGATGCAGGCAGGTCCCCCTTCTGGATTTCCGAAGTTCTAGCTGACTCGTGTATTTCTGTGCTCCCACGGGGCACTCGTTTTTCACACTGTGGGGGAGGAGACGAGCAGTCGTGGGTCCCCAGAGCAGCAGGGGACTGGGTTTGCAGTCTGGGAGATTGGACGTGAGGCACGTTCCCGTCTGTTGTCTCCTGGCCAGGTTACAAGTGCTGAAGATGGCAATCAGTGAGAATAATGTCCTCCCACCATCATGCAGTATGTGCTTACATGGTGGCAGCATTTAACACCTCTATTTTTAGCATTGTTCACTGTCTGTCTTGTGCAGCAATAATTGAGGAGCATTCAAATTTTGTGTCGAGGAAAGGCCCTCTGTTAGACACATCCATTCTGTTGCAAGGCTCTAGACATATGTTGGAATTTTGGGACAGGCTTGATTGCCAGCAAACATTTCTAATGCTCTGCTAAATTGTAGTTAGTAGCTTTTAGTCCTTTCCTGCCACAGCCTTGTACAGCATCGGAGACGTGCCAGCTGCGTCGTGGGCTCCCAACCGTTGGAAAGGCAGCGCCTCCTCCTTCCACGAGTTCCCTGCTCCTGTTGTTACTGTGGAATCATAGGGGCCGAACGGATTAGCTGTAGCTGACCCATCCCAGACGCATGCCTAGCCATGATGAAACCTCCCGAGAGGAGATTGCACAACTTCCCTTGGCAGTTGATTCCATTGTCCTGCTGTTCTGACAGGAAGTTTTTTCGTGAGATTTAAGGGAGGCCCCCGACTTGCGATGGGTTCTGGAGGAAGTGTCGCAAGTTGGGGGTGTCATAACTTGAACCTGTATTTACGGTAGGCGCCGTGCGCTCTTGTAAATGTGGGCCGAGGACGTAAGTCGGGTTTCCGGCCCCTTCCACACTTACAAAAATGGTTATAAGTGTGGGGGGTCGGAACTCAGGGGCTTCCTGCAACCGGAACCTGCTGTGCTGTAGTCTGAACCCATGGCCTCTTGTCTTGCCCCATGGCAAGTGAGCGCAACTTTTTATGGCAGTTGTTCAAGTGTGCGAAGACCCCCTTCATCTCCTCTTCCCAAGCTAACCAGACCCAGTTCCTACAGCCTTTGCTCAGGTGGCTTGCATTCAGTGCCTTTGATCAGCCTTGTTGTTCACCTCTGGATCCTTCCCACTTTCTCTCCAGCAGGGACCAAAATTGACCCTGGTGCTCCAGCTGGGGCCCAACCAGCATGTAATGGAGCAGTCCTGTCGCCTCCCGTGACTTGCATGCCATGCGTCCCTTAATGCGACCCAAATGTGCATTTGCCTTTAACAGCATCCCGTTGTTGACTCCTGTGGTAGTAAAGGATATTGTTGCAACATCCTTTAAGGGAAGAAACGTTTTTGGTGACAAGAATGAGATCTTTACACGCGTTTTCTTGACGAATTTCTATGAAGACGTTGCGATTGGTCTTGTGCCAACCGGGGAGCATTCGGGCTTTGCCCATGCATGCTTGGTACGCCACTGGCGCGATGGCCGTCGCTTGTGTGCACCCGATGGAGGAGTTAGCAGGCGTTCTTCTCTGTAGTATGACCATGTAGAATTGTAGGGCTGGAAGGGATCTCGAGAGGTTTTCTAGTCCAGTGCCCTGCCCTCAGGGCAGCACTAAGGCCTTGGTTCCACCAGTGAGGTTACTGAATGATGCAGCTGTGCCACTGAGAGATGGCTCATGTAGCTGTTCTGTGCTGGCAGGAGGCTGCTCTCCTGTTCACGTAATTACACCAGCCCCAGTGGCTGTGTTAATGAGAGAAACTCTCTTTGCCAGCGTTGCACTGTGCATTCTGCCACTTACGCTGGTGAAGCTTACGTTGCACAGGGTTGTGGTGGTTTCACATCCCTGAGTGACATAACCCTTGCTGGTGTAGGTAGTAGTTGAGATACGAGCTAGACCATCCCTGACCGGTGTCTGACCAGCCTTCTCTTCAATCTCTCCAGAGACGGGGATTCCACAACCTCCCTCGGCAATTTATTCCAGTGTCTCACCACCCTCACTGGCAGGAAGTTTTTCCTAATGTCCAACCTAAACCTCCCTTGCTGCAGTTTAAGCCCCTTGCTTCTTGGCCAAAGAGAATAATTTTTCTCCCTCCTCCTTGTAACAACCTTTTACATACTTGAAAACTGTTGTGTTCATTTGTGTGGGGAGAGGGAAGCACATCTTTCCTGCAACGTGGTGCCCAGAACTGGACACGATACTCCAGTTGAGGCTTGATCAGCACAGAATAGAGCAGAAGAACAGCTCCTCGTGTCTTGCTTACAACACTCCTTGTAGTGCAGCCCAGAATGACGCTCCCCTCCCTCCCAACAGCACTGTATGACAGTGTTGACTCCTTTTGCTTATGGGCCACTGTGATCTCCAGATCCCTTTCTGCAGTGCTCCTTCCTAGGTGGTCACTTCCCGTTCTGTATGCGTGCAGTTGATTGCCCCTCCCAAAGCGGAGTACTTTGCATCTGTTCTTACTGTAGTCTGTCGAGGCTAGCCAGAGCATCTCACATCAAAATACAATTTTGCGTGTTGAGACTTGTGGTCTCCGCAGGCTAGACAGTGTCTATGCAAGATACAAGCTAATATCTGTAGCACTCGTGGGCTGGATGCATTTGCCCGTCAGTCGTACCATGGCCACTACGACCGTAGACGGACTGTTCACAGCATTCACAAACAAGGAGCCAAACACAGACAGAACTTCAGAAAGTGGTGTTGGTGCCCCAGGCACTCTGTCTACGGGAGTTCACTTTGCTCTCCCCCTGGTGATGGGCTGGGTGTGATGTAGACACATCCCGACATAGCCAGGCAGGCGCATTTCCTCTGTGTCTGACCGTCTGCTCAGACGGGAGGTCGTGTGGGGTCTCAGCTGGACGCTGCGAATGGGCAGATGGTCCTGGGTATTGAATGACGTTTGCGGTGGGAGTGCTTTTCGAATTGAGACGTGTGGGCTGCTGGGTTTCAAAAGGGTTGAAGTGAAACTTGTCAGCTGAGGTGAAGCAGGCCCCAGGATAACTGTCAATGTTGAGAACTGTGGGTGTCCTCGGAGCCAGCCCCATGCACCTGGATTGGGGCAGGCCCGTGGGTGTACCTGAAGCGGGGAATCCCTGGGGTGACAGCCTGTCGCTGTTAACGCTGATGAAGGAGCACGAGCTGTTATCCGTTCCAGCAGGATGGCTCCGGGAGGGTGGATCCCAGCTTTCGAAACAGAAGAAGTGCTGTGTGGACTGTCCTATGGGTGAGAGATTCCTTCTTGGACCGGAAAGTCCCATGTCAATGAGTTCAGCCTCTCGGTTGTGTGCTGTGTCTCTTTGACTTGTCCCCTTATACTTGTGTTCAGTTAAATCTCGCTTTCCAACTCTGGTAAGTGAACTTCCCTTGGGTTTTGCTATGGACACGGCCACGTGCCTTTGCCAAGGGGCGAGCTGAGCGGAGATGCAGCCCACGACCTGGGAGGCGCTCTTCCCCAGAGGCCGCGGGTTTGGGCATTGCGGGGTCCAGAAGAGCATGGACTGGGCACCCCCAGACCCGAGTGTGGCATGTGGATTCGTAGCCTGCAGAAGGACGGAGAGCGGCCTGTGTTGCCAGCAGTTGGTGTCTGCAGGGAGTTTCTCCTGCTGTAAGACGGTGGTAGCCATTCACCCCAGGTGCCTTGTACTCCGAATGTGCCACGCAGGGTCCTAGGGAGCCTAACTCCAGGAAACGTTAACGCTGTGGGGCGTGGAGGGGCCGTGGGTTAGAATCTCCTGTTACTCGATTCCAGTGCTCGTGTGTGGAACATGTAGAAATGAACTGGCTGGGGTTCCGGGCGTGTCCCCCACAAAGCACCACAGACTCTCGCCTCGGAAGGCCAAGCTCTGGAATTCCCCAGGGTGCTGCTGAGCGCTGGAAGGGCCCAGACTGGTGTATCACAGGCTTGAGCAGGTGACCAGGGTACGTGGGCAGAGCAGTGCTCTTAGCCCAAGTGAAGAGAGGGTAAAACGTTCAGCTGGGCTGGCTCCCCCTCTCAGAAGTGACGCAGGGTCCTGAGCTAACGAGACCGAAGGCCTGTGCCCAGCCGTATCCGAGTGCACGCGGGAAGCTTTAGCATGCACCCGGGTAGTTGGTGTGCAGCGCACGGGGGCATGGGAGATTTACACCCCAGCTTGCCACCAAGTTAATGCTCATGCAGTCGACACCCACACAGCTAAACCAACTCGGAAAGTGGCTTGTAGGCTCCTACATCACGTGGCTGCTTTTGAAACCAACGCCCAGTCCCTTAATTTCATGATTACTGAATTCGTCCTCAGATTCACTCGCCCTCAGAGAGGAACTTTTCAGCATGTCCTTTGGCTTCTCTCGTTTGTGTCACTGCATGTTCGTTTGGGACTGCGCTGTGCCAGTGGCACTGAAGGACGGGGTTGAGCTGTGCCCGTCTGAGAGACGCCTGCGGTTACCCCGTGGTGCGTGACCCTGCCCGTCTGTCCCGGCACTTGTAACCCAACACACTATCTCTGGGAAAAGTAGGATCCAGAAGGGTCGCGGTTCCAAGTCAGTCTCAACTTCCACCTGTGTTTTTCTTCTACCACGTTGTGCTGCCCCTGCCAGGCCTATTCCCTGTACAGAGAAATGTAACTTGCCACTGCTTGTCTTTCTAGAGAAAAGAACAGATAAATCGGCCGTGTCTGGGGCTATCCGCCTGCAGATCAACGTGGAAATAAAAGGAGAGGAGAAGGTGGCTCCGTATCACATCCAGTACACTTGCCTTCATGAAGTGAGTATGCCTGAAGCATGTGGTGGTGGTAACTGGGTTCTCTCTCCTACGCCCTCGGCTTGTTGATGTTGCAGGTACCCTGTGTCCTGCCCCCCCC